AAGTTCGCTCGTGTTCTGCTCCTGTCTCATTAACAAAAGTACAAAGTATCCGAGTATCTTTAAATTGTTTTCAAACAGATAACATCAACAATATTCAAACAGCAGATGATGATGCGAACATGGTAAGTAAATGCCTGCCACAACATAAATTTTAAAGATAACAAAGTCAATGAATAAAAACAGTGTCTCAAGTACCCGAACCAAAAGTGTGTATAATATATTAGAAATTTGAATGCGTAAGGTCAAAAGCACTTAGTTATTATGACCATTTTAAAAAGTCCCTTTCAATTGTTTGGGTTAATCTTACCTAGAACTTTTTTGACCATTAACAGAAATTAGGAAAGTGGTAAGTGTTAGGAAATGTACCTCATTGTTTTACATTAATAAATTCTCTAAAGATACGATGTGAAAATTAAAATGTTTTAAATGTATTTTTAAATCGACGGTTAATTTTTGAAAACTTCGCGGATCAAAAACTTTCGGGCGTCCCTGGTTTGTAGTCGGGAAAACTAGGACAAATAGAAATTAATTTTAAATTAGAAATAAGCAGTAGAAATAATATAAATAGGGAAATCAATTACGAAAAGGGTCACCTTAAATGTGTGTAAAATTCAAATTTAAACTTTTCTTTTAAAAAGCCATAGATATGCAAAAGTCGCTCATTTTTTATCAAAGTTTTTTCGCCCCTTAGTCAGTTTCAAATTTTTGCGCAGGAAATTCCCTTTTAAAACAAACCCAAAAAGCTCCTTCAAAAAATGAGCCTATCAAAATGTACCATAATAACACAATATTTCGAAAAAAATTTCTTTTTGAAACATAAAAAACAGTGTTTTTAGCTTAATCATCCGAAAAATTGGGAAATAAATTCCCCTAACGGTTGGGAGCGTTAAATTCTTGACCAAATTTTGGGGCTACAAAGAAAATCCCATTGGCTAATTCCCGGGCAAAACCTTTTCTTAGAAAAACTATAAAAAGGGGCAAAACCCTTCAGTCGCGGGAATCACTCGTTTAAAAACGGGCTAGTTTTAAACATTAACTGAGGAAACACCCAGTAAATCCGTAAGTTTCAAGTCGTAAGTTCTCGTCCGCAAGTTTGGTAACCATCTATGATCTTGGAACAGTCGCTAGTCTAAACTCCATATATATAACGGTCGAGAGTCTGTACTGACGACGAGTCGCTAGTTTTGAAACTCACGACTATCCGATAAAAGATAACCTTATGTTTATAATGTATTGTTGAACAGAACAAAGCTAGTTTATGTGTCGCTACTCACGACCTGTCGTTAGATCGTAATCTGAGACTGAACTTAAATGTAATACAGTAATAATATAAAGGATAGCTGAACACTCGGGAACTACGATGACTGACACCTAGAACATAACCCCTCCTCAGAAATAATAATAAAGAATCTAACAATTAAATAAACCAGTATATATGTGTTGTTCAATCTGGGACATACTTATCTTATGTCCCAGGTTCAATTAATGTTCATGTTTGCATAGTGTATTTATCTGATTTGCATCTATAAATAAATGCATTTTGGTATTTGAAATCTATCTTTGCTATTTCTTATGGATTCTGATCATTGTCGGTAGTTCATCCTGATTTAAATGCCGTGCCGTCCTTTACTACTACCGCACACATACCGTTACTCTAATAGTATGTAGAACTCGTGAAGGTGCATTTACATATAAAGTTTGAAGGTCCAAGGTCAATGGGTCAATGTCACACTTAGAGGTCAAAGGTCAAATTGTGGTATGATGTTTCGTGTCTCGAATATAAGTCATTCACTGATGATTGGATTTTCATATAACCTGGCAAAAATGTTCACTTCTACCAGATGTTTTGACATCACACAGATTCCTCGCTTCAAGGTCAATGTCACACTTAAGTGATAATGTCACATTAGTGTAAAATATTTTGTTTAAGGAGTAAATGATGATGGGATGTTCAATTAGCCTAGCCAATTTTACAATATAAATTGAAATTGTGCTGCACGCCCAGGTCCCTCTTTCTATGGCAAAGGTCTCAGAGGCCAATTCATGAATCGTCAAATTGTGGTGCATTTTTGTGTCATGTTGGCACGGCATCATGGGCAGTAGTATGTCTTACATTGGCATGTAACTTCCTCAATGAGGTACATGCAAAGGTGTTTTGGTTGTAAAGAAAAAGACCTAAAAGATTTCACTTTTATTTCTGAAACTAATTGTTTCATTCTTTTAAACTATAGAAGGAACACATAAGCAAAGCAGGGATGTTCGAAAATTATTGCCACATGACCTTTTTCTGGAAAACCAATAAAGATTTTTATAAAGATTTGTTTTGCACATTTAAGAATGTTCTTTCTGTTGAGGACTACGCATTTTTTTCTTTCTTAAATCTTGCAGATAACCATTTGATTTTTTGCCCACTATATACCCACTACTGATATGAATTGCTGATATAACATCGTGCATTGATTTTCGCAATATTATATGGTTGTAAAGCACAGAGATAAATGACTAGCAAATGCAATTAAATTTTTTATAACATCTCATTCTCTAATAGTTTTCCAGAAAAAAAGTCAAGTAACAACACTTTTCGAACTACCCTCGTTTTATTGGACCTTACAACGACACATACAACTAAACCTCCCTTCCAAAATAAGGACATATACCATTGTCTCTTCTCTTTACTAAGATTTTGGTGATATTTACGTATTATCACTATCAACATAAAATCCAAAAAGTTGTTCAATTATTATTAAACAACATACGATGATCAAACAATAACAAACAACAACGATAACAAATTAAATAATGGTGCATAGCATAGGCTTATGTTACTACATGTAAAATAAATATTGTTTTAAATAAGTTGTATGCAGTGTGTACGTTTGAAGAAAAACCTACACACCCAAAGCTTGAATATCTATAACTTGGAATGCACATTGTGAAGAAATCTAGTAGTTTACATAAATCTGAATCTGTTTAGCGATAGTTAACGCAAGGTTACACTCTCATAGTTACTTTATAGGAAAGATGATCAGACACACTGTCACCACATTAAAATTAAACAAACGCAATCCATAACAAATCGAGAAAAGTACTTAAAACGTAGATTATATTAAAATTAACTGATACAATTCAATGAACAAAAATAATCTATGCAAAAACTCGTTGTCTGCCATATTTCATTCAAAAACGCGCCGAATTATCATGTTCAACAGACAAGTCAAAAGTCACAAGTCAAAAGTCATAAGTCACAAGTCAAAAGTCAAAAGTCATAAGACACAAGTCAAAAGGGCAGGTTTATGCTTCCATATCATAATGATTTGCTTATAATAGCTTTTTTATTTTATAATTTCTATTACATTTGGGTACATAAATTATACTTTTATTTTATATAAATCATTCATTTTTTTTCGAGTAAAAACTAAATGTCATGACTTACAAAAAAGGCAATAAAATTCGACTTTATCGGTGCGTTTCGTCAGAAATTTAAACACATTTTGGTTTAGGTATTAGGGCGTTCAGAAATCCAGCCAATTTTCATCACTAATTTACCATGACATTTTAAATCATCGTTCTGAAATTGTTTGGACAAATCACTTTAAGACGGAGATGATACAAGATAAAATCAGCAATTTACTAAATAAAGATATAAAATATTTGCAAGTATACATACATGTATTAAGATCGAATATTTGACAAGAAAACAACACACAACAACAACAACAACAACAGTATAAAAACAACAATAAACAAATAAAAACAACAGCAACGTGACTTTTTGGGTATCGTAGTCGCGAACACAAAATAGAAAACAACAACAAAAACCCGGATAAACATTTCATGACTTGTCAAATAACTTACAATACAGTGAACAAATCTAAGTAAAAATGTAGTAAAAACTGATATCTGTACATGTGTATACCAGCGGCGGGAAAAGGGACACATTTTAATTGATTAAAATAACGGATAAATAACACATATAATATATATATACGGTGATTATTTATAATATTCGGTCGGACAAAGGATAGCAAAAGATTTATGAGTGTTTATGGGTTCACACTGGTCAAGTGGATTAGAGCCGTACTTTCACAACAACGGTTTCTTTTCTTATCGTCTGCTCATTATTTGTGTTGCTTTGATAATATACAAAATATTTTTCACCTTCTACAAAAGCGACAGATTATCACTATTCGTATAACCCTTTCAAGACGTATTATTCGTGCTAAAACAGTGTGAAATCGGGTATATATCATTTTAGTATAGGGCTTAAAGAGAGATAAGGCATGAATCTGAGAAATGATATACTTGATTAAGTATTCTATAAAAGATATTGAAAAAGAATCAATTTTTGGTATAGTTTTGACTGCCAAATTGTACGTACTTCTAGGCCACTTTAGTAAAAAGCATCATTTCTCTTGATTCATAAGTAAGACGATTCTTTACAGGTTATATGGCCCAGTTAAAAAGTTTGTGAACTTATATCACCCCAGTCATAAGGCGAGGGTTACGTAGCAAGGCCACCGTTTAGTCGCTCTTCATATCATCAGTATGCGACTTATACTCTATTGTTTCAGTATTATGTAAAAATTGACCAGATGAATGTATCACATAACGAAATTGTGTTGTTCTCGTTTTTATGTTTGATGGTAAATATCATCAAGTGTTAAATATATGCCAGCTAATATTTGACATAAATTATCAAAGTCTGATTGGCAATAAGATCTCGATTTAGTTTGCTGGTAATTACAAGAATAGTAAGCGTATAGTTAACATAGGACCGGCAGTTCTTTAATAGCGATAAATGTCAGGGTTTTATCTGAATACTTAGCCAAAACGAATTTTATTTCAAAAGTCATTATTATATGAACGTTTGTAAGATTTCCGCTTTTCAGATTCAAGCCCATGTTTTTAATTTTTCATTAAATGAAAAATGGGACATATGCTTACCAACATACGTGAAAATACAAATATCATTAATTTGGTCATGATTTATATATTTTCAGGTTTCCGAGGCTACAGATAGAAGAGTCCGGAAGTAGAGCGTTATCCATACGATGGATACTCTGCAGCAGATAAAAGACGAATTCCTGGTCTGTCCAATTTGCTTACGTCACTATAAGGAACCAAAACTACTTCCATGTCTTCATACATTCTGCCTACGATGCTTAGAAGACTTTGTGCATAAAACAGAAAACAGAAATCACATCGAAAATGGCGATACAACAGACGAAGATCATAACAGTGTCATTTTCAAATGTCCCGTATGTAGAGGGGACACGACTTTTACTCTTTCCGAAGATGGGAAGAAAATAGAAAGTGGCTTTTCCGATAACCATCTAATTTCAAACATTATGGAGAAAATAGATGTACATAAAGAAGAACAGATTTGTGAGTCATGTAGTGCCAGAGGTCAAGGTCAGAAGGCTGCGAAAGCTGAGGTATATTGTCAAAATTGCAAGGTCTCTTTTTGTGAGAGTTGTATTAAAGCCCACAATGTGATTAAGGCTTGCCGAGACCACGTAATAATATCATTAAGTGATATAAGAGTGAATCCGTTACAAACTTTAAAAAACACAAAACGCGAGATTCCGTGTTCAGAACATAAAGATAAGGTGCTTGAGTTCTATTGTTTAGATTGTCGTGTTGCTATATGCTCAACGTGCGTTGCTGTGCAACACAGACGATGTGAAATGGTCGAGACATGCGCAGACTCAGCACAGAAGCTTAAACCGGAAACTGATAATGTACTCAAGGACCTTGATACTCAAGAAGTGTCTCTTACAGACTGGCAGCAAGAACATTTGCGGGAAATCGAGGAACTTGAGGAAAACAAAAGTTCTCTTATTACCGAAATAAAAACAGTTCGTAAAAATGTTGATTATCATCTAGCCAAATTAGAACAATCTCTTTTGGAAGAGCTAGATGTTAAACACACTAATGCCATTATGAGTGTTAAAGAAAGACTTCAAGAAATTGAAGATTTGAAGAAAAATCTTGAAAACACGAATAGGTTCCTTAGACATCTGGTACAGTTCGGAAGTGATTCTGAATTTCTTTCAGTTTTTGACAAAGTCAAACAACAAATTATTGAAATGAACACGGGAATCAATAGGCGTAAGATAGCCAAACTTCTTTTCCGACACAAATTCGCATTAGATATGAATTTAAGTCGTATCTTTGACCTTAAATCTCTCGGAAAGTTAGTCGACGTTGTGGATATGAATAAAGATAGTTTTCCAATGAACGGAGAGAACGGTCTAGGTCCCCCTTCACCAGTAAGAAAAAGTTCAATCAAAAGGACTGGAACGTTTAGAGTTGATAAAGCAGAGGAAGAGCAACAGGCTCAACAACAAGAGAAGATCAAGCCACAGAAGCAGCAAATTGCTCTGCAACCTATACCGTCACAAAGCAAACATTCGTCTCGCAGTAGCCTATCTACAAACTCACCATCTACATCAAATGACAGCATGAGCTCTCAGGAGATGCTTGACTCGACGCCAAGACGTCATGCTGTCTCTATAAGAGCACGGCAACAACAGGAGACATCCGCAAGACTTGCAGCAGGGTCCACTGGTTCCCTTCCTCGCGCGGCCAAACGAGTGAACAGTGCAGTAGAATTCCGAAAATCTCAAGCTGTACAATCCACTCCGTCTAAAGGTGCGAAAACACCCCCTATTCAAAGGCGACGTGCACAAAGCACGGTTAATGGCAGGCCTCCTGTTGGAGGAGAAAAGCCTGTTAGACCAGAAAGAAGATCTAAAACTCCTGACCATGGCATGTTGTCTCCGACTGGAACTCCTGTTCTCACTAAGAAGTCAACTGAAGGTGTTTTATCACCACCACTTGCAAGACGATCAGAAATTACTCCGCCAAAATCTCCAAAACAACCCCGACCTGCGCCACTCATGGACAAAACCAATGCTCAACTATTATGTGCTTTTAATGGACGCACAGAAAGTGATAACAAAAAATGCTGGCCTTTAGATGTAACAGTTCTTTGTGACGGGACACCAGTAATTACAGATTTCCATAATAAGAAGATAAAAGCATTTGACGCAAGCGGTTCAGTTATGTGCGACGTGTTATTACCGTCCTGGCCTCATGGAATAGCAAATGTAGAGAAATCCGATGTTGCAGTTACACTACCGGAAATATCAACACTTGTTTTTGTCACGGTAAACGAAAAAACAATGTTGTTGCAGAAAAGAATAAAAACCGTTAAACAGTATCGCGGGATTTGTTGCTTTGAGGATACCAGCGGTGGTAAACCGGTGATCATTGTCTCGTGCTGCGCTTCTAACAACCAGTCTGTCGACGTTCTCTCCCTTGATGGTGAAATTCTCAAAAGTCACCGACATGACAATCGTCAGCAAGGTCGAACGCTGTTCACGTGGCCATACTATGTTACTGTTAATAATGAAGGGGAGATAATTGTTTCTGATTGTGAGACGAAGACCGGATTACTCTACCTTGACAAGAAAGGTGACGTGAAATATGATTACCTTGCCATACAGGTTGTTATACAAGACCCACGAGGTATTTGTACCGATCTTGACGGAAATGTGTATCTTGCCGATAAATCTGCGCACGCAATTCATAGTCTTACTTCCGATGGCCATTACCGGAAGTGTGTTGTGAGCGCTCGTGATGAATTAGTGCAACCCATAGCGGTTTGTGTAAGTCCGTTTGGACATATCATTGTTACACAAGACAATGGCGATATTAAAGTGTATGCCATTGATTGATGAAGTATAATATAAGCAAGGACTTTAATATTTGGGTACGATATATACTCCCATTTGTGTTAATTTATTGCACGCTAACCAACGCATGTGTTCCTTATCATTCAATTCTGGAATAAAAAATACATTGATTTCCAAATCTAACTTTTTGCGAGTATTATAAATTCATACTATCTAGTAAAAACTTGAATGGAACAGCTCTTGCAAAAAGAAGGAATATTCATTTAAGTGTTTTGATGCAAAACATTATAAAACTTAAAATTCTATACCCGTTTTCTTTATTTTGAACATTAAATTATATAATTAATTTGTATATCATTAGTAAATATTTGCACAAAAGAATTAGTTTTAATATATTAAAAGAAAATACTAATATATTTGAAATGAATCATTTTAATATATGTATATTTGTTATGTTTTGTTATTTACTTATTCAACAACCATTACACCAATGTATAGAGGCAGAAATACTAAAATATAAATAAAATTTATATGTGAGTTTATGCTTTTCTGTATTTTTCTTGTTGCAATATCAGCAATATTATGTAATATCATTTGAGAGAAAAAAAAATCAAACTAAGTCCTCGAAAAGGCAAGGAGTCAAATGGTGCTAAAACCGATACCATGGGGATAGTTAATCATGCAATAAATAATGGATTTAGCTCAATACAGGATTGGAGCAGTACCTCTAGACGCTTGCAGAAATCATGATCACAAAATAGACAAATATCGTTTTTTTCGCTGATTTTTACATTTTTCATGCATTATCATACATAAATCAGTGTGAAAAGATGAATTAGACATATTAAAGTTCATTCCGTTGCGAAAAAAGCAAGATTTTGGCATTTCACGATTCAAGCGCCTTGCCCGGTATATACCGGAATACGGTATTTAGTGTGGTGCTCCTATCCTTTTTTTAGTCTCACTCATAAATAATTACGTTGATATTATTTATAATTTCGCACCTTATAAAATATAACCAATGGACTTTCAGGTTTTGCACCACGTGATGTTCTATTATAAATCACTATTGGATTCAATCTTAACAATTAGCCTCGTTTTCATTTCCAGAGTCCATAAATTTCATATCAAATATTTAACACACCCCATATAGCCTCGTTTTCAACGTTGGAGAGTCTAAAATCCATATTAAATCGTTATTGTAATTCAAGTCACAAAGTTCTGTTAAAATGTCAAAAAATGGTGGTGTGAAATGGAGAGGTCATTAAGCATTGTTGAGAACAATACTGATTCTATTGGACTCGTTCACAGCTGCAAAACCTATATCAGACTCAGCGCATCGTCTAATATAGTTTTGACAGCTGTGTTTTCGTTCGATAGAATTCAGAAATGTACTCGACAATGTATAAAAACCTCATAGTTTTAGACATAACAACAAACCATGGAAGAATTATAAATCTATGTTGTTGGCAAGTATGAGATATATTATTCAATATATTATATACATGTATTCATAAAGAAGATTAGAACAACATATTATAATTCATCACTGAATCGCTAAAAGACTATGGAAATTGTGCCCAAACTTTACAGGTATCGACCCACTCTATATATGTTTTTGCCTTTTTATAAATTAGTCACACCATTTGCTAATTTTTGGATTTCACAATTCCTATAGAGAAACCTATTGTGTATACCTTTGACCACTATCGAGTCAATCGATAATATACCTTAATTCGGACGAAGTCCGTCTGTTATCAGTTTTACTTCCTGTAAAATTAACAGTGACGAACTGAATATAAGAAAAATTGTCATTGGTCATTTTAAAATTACAAACTGAAATCGGTGAATCTCAATGGTCATTCAACAATAAAATGTAAAGAACAGTTCTAACCATTCTAAAATGAAATGTAAAGGTCAATTCTTACCATTGTACAATAACATTTTAAGGATAGCTCTTAAATAAAGTGTAAGGGATAGTTTTGCCGTTTTAAAAAATGTGAAGGATAGTTCTACAATGAAATGTATAGGAATGAGGATAGTTCTTTAACTTTTTGGTTAATTTGTAAATGATAATCAAATTTATGCAGTCAAAATTAAAACAAGTAGCAGGGACACTTAAAACAGCAGTTGTCCTACTTTGAAAAATAATCAATATCAATATACACATGTAGTATAAATTTGACATCAATATTATGTTCGTGAAGATGGCAGCCTAGCAGCCTGAAGTTGGCAGCCTAACAGCGTGGCAGCCTGAAATTGGCAGGCTAGCAGCCTGGCAGCCTAAAGAAAACTAAGAATAGTACAAACATGAAAACAGACGGAAATACATTAGTAGCACTTCTCTAGATCATTCCACGCCTTTTTTCAATATCGTGATCCGCCCCGCGGAGCAAAAATACCACATGGCACCATCCGCCACCATACAGGTGCAATAAATACTTTAAAACATGACCACTATAAAGATCATTTAAAAAGAAGCACTCTAGGCCACAACGGGCCAGGTCTAACTCCGTCCTAAAATGGCACTAAATATTACAATCTGAAGTTGATTTTATCGCATTATTTCTCGTTTAGTTACAAACGAAACAAAAAAAACACCAAAACAATTCGTTTCATTTTTATAATAATATTGTATGAATCAGTAGCTTTAAAATAACAAATGTTCACATTTCTATACATGGAATTGGGACAAAAGGTTTTAAATCTTATCATGTCTTAAACCTATCCCAAAAAATAACGTCATCAACCGTATAAATTTAAATTACGGAAACTATCTTAAGATTCAAATGCGCAAAATATCATTACCTCATGCTGTCATATTGACATGATCTGTGTGGAATAAAAATAAATAAAGTTAGAAAATGTATTACGTTATTCTTACAAATAGATATCAACTTCTCTCAATGACCGAAAAGATTTTATCTATAGAATATATACTGAAGAACTAATTTATTCGAAACAGTGATTTATTGAGCAATAAAATCACTGTTTGGGATATATTATTTCTTAAATAAAGTCTGTTTGGTAAAATTATCACTAACATTTATCAATTTAAAAATGTCCATTGATAAACAATTATAAACAAATCTGATGTAATATCAACAGGTTTTCGGATAGTTATAATAAGTATATAGATAATGTACTGTTTACTTTTATATCTACAAAATGTAAGACGTTTACCCGATATATTGGAATAAACTAAGTCAACAACTCCTCATTTGTTTCATGTTTAGTTCTTAACGTAGGTTACACCGAAATACCACAGAGAAGAGAGATGCCAAGAAGATGCGATTGTATTTTAATACGGACTCACCTCTGCATTTTGTGCGTTTTTTGAAAAAAATCAACAATGTAAGGCTTATGATATCATCACCAAAGTAAAAAAAAAGTAATAAATCTTGGCTGAAGTATCAAATACGGTTCGATCCCTATTCGCAATAAAATGTCATGTAAGCTGTCTTTCAGGTATATTTAAATCAATTATCTTATGACGAAATTTTTTAGGGTGTAAATACCGGTATATGCTGTCAACACTAAGAAATCCTGTTTTTATTTGTATGGCTCGTCAGACCAAACAAATAATGGTAGCGAAATTTCAGACCCTGATTTTCTTATCTGCAAATACCGAAAGTAGTCTAAACTCCTCGAAGCGGTTACTTCCCTTCATTAACGCCGACAAATTAAGGGGAGATCACTGCGTAAAGATTGTCAAATGACAGGCGCATTAATTTTAATAATGACAAAAAAAAAAGTTCCCGATTGGTCGAAGATTTCTAATATAGTGTTATTCTTATAGATATACATGCTTATATTAAGCTCCATGATTATTTACTTCAGTGTTAAACAACAGGTTTACCGTGAACAAAATATATCGAAATTAATAAGGGTTACAAACTTTAATTGAGAATAATATGGTATTCTTCAGGCTGTTATCTTATAGCTCCCTGTGGTCAAGGAGTTTACACGCTCGCTTTTGAAGCGAGAGGTCCGGAGTTCAAATCCCAGGCCAGGCAACTCATGTTTTTTTAAAATTTATCAAAATAAACATTGAATTGAATATCAGTGTTGCAATTAGTCTTATAGCCAATTTACTATAGTTATAACACTGGAAACAGAATTTGGTGACACTATACAAACAAATCGGTTTATAATCTCACTATCTTCACCTTTCTGACATTCTGAGACCCAAACAAATTCAGCGCCTTCTGTGCTTTGATTATCTGTGTTATTAATATTCATCGCCCATTGTAAGATATATAGGTATTTGTCAAAATGTTGAAATTATTTGAGTTAACGTCATTCCGTTGGTGAAATACCACTTCGGGGTTTCGCCAAAACTATCTTGCAGACAATAAAATGAATTTTATACATTATCTATCATTATTTTTCATTATTTTATCTAAAGATTTATTTTAGATACCATGGCAACGTCTTTGACAAGATTTGGCTCATAAAAGTTTCTATCGTGGAATGGCGGAACAGCGGCGTACCAGTTTCAATCGAATCCCGCACAACCTTCCTCCAATTCCAGCATCATATGAAATTAAATCGCAAGCGCTCCCTTGGTCGATGAAATCTTAAAAGTTAAATCACTCTACTCATCTATTTATTTTTACTCTTTGTTAGCTCACCGGACAGAGGCAGACGGACGCGGAAAACCGGTGTCATATTTCTTATATTCATGGGAAATTCCCGTTCTCTTTGCATGTTGTAAAAAACATAGAGTTAACGTATATACAAAGTTTCAAAAAAATCGGATAAAACCTAATTACATGTATTTCTAAGGTTATTCCAGTTAAACCGGCCCAACGCCCTAACGACATCACGTTCTGCGCATGTCTGCGAGTGTCACCCAAAACACGCCCCTAGTCCGTCTCGAAATATTCCCTGTGAAAGGAAATGCACTTTTTTTACATTTATCTCCGAAATTGCAACTTGCACTGCGTAAGACAGCTCGTCCACGTCATTGAAGTGTTCTCCCTGCAGAACGGTCTTCAGTGTCGGGAACAGATTTAAACCGCACGGTGCGGGATACGCCGCGATTTTCAATCCCCGCTTCTTTCTCATCGCCTTCATAAAATCGCTTTTCAGAACCTGATAACATAAAGGAATGCAATCATAAGTAAATTGTACCTCCTTTCTGAAGAGTATTTCAATTTCAGTGAGCTTAGGGTTTGGGTTAAAGCTTTCTGGCAGTCTTTTTTTTTAATCGTTCTTATAGGGTAGTTTTTACAATTTAAGATATTTTTATTTCCAAAACCTTATTTTTGGCAAAAATGTTCGAAATTGTAAGTAGATAATAATTTTATGAAGATACAAAGTTGAAAATATGAACCGTTTTCTGAAAAAAATTGGCATATACCTGTTACAATAAGCTAATTCTTTTCATTGGTTTTGTTTCTTTTCATTTCAAACCTGTGGGTGTTTCAATGCCTTTTTATCTTTTGAAAATATAACGATATTATAACCAGTTCAATTATTTGATTTTGAAAAAACGATAACGAATCGAAAAATTTTTACAGTATATATTGAAC